CCTATTGGCTTATATTAAACTGCTGCTTAGCTTGTTTCCTCTCGTCTCATTGTATGTCTAAACCATTAGATTCTTGGATATATATGTCTATAATTTATTAAAAACAATAGTTTGTCCAGTATCCCTGTATTTGTGATGATGAGAAACTGGAAGAATTATTGTTTATCTGTATCATTTTTATTATATATTATATTTAATAAAAATTATATTTAGTATATATTATTTACTTGATTATTTACTTATGGTTTGGAAACGTTAGGAAGCCACTATACTTCTGTCAGGGTATAGACACTGTGTGTATTGGCGACAACATCTGGTAACTGTGGCCTTGAAGACAGTCTCTAGAAAAGTGTTGCATATATTATCACTTAAATAAATCATTATGATTTAATCATATCATTATCCTCAGACAGAGCAATAAACTAATGTTAATTAACAATATTATAGTTAATTAGGGCCAGTTGTACAGCTAAACTTAAACTTTGATTATGCTTAATCAGCTGATAACCGATATTTAACCAGTCAAATTCGGCCGATTAATATCCGGTTAACTTAAATCGGAGATGGTAGAACTGGCCCTTAGTTTTTAATTCATATCTAAATGAATACTTATTCATTTTACCAAGATTTAATATTAATGTACCTACCTATTTAAAATATAAAAATAAATTTATTATAAATAATAACTCTTATTGTTATGTGCTCGAATGAAACAATATTGTTATAGATTAGAATAAAATACTTGTTTTTAGGAACAAACCCTTTAAAAATATAGTAACAATATATTTTCTTTATTTAACATTCAATAACATTCAATCACAATCGCTAAAGAAAAATGAAAAATAATGTATTACATAAATAAAAATGTATACAATAAGGGCTATATATATATATAAGTAGTATTGAAGCTATATTTTGTGGCCCTGAAAAGGATTGTTTAATGCAACCTGAGGAAATAGTCTAGCAAAAGACCTATTGGGTATTGGTCATTGCATTGTTTCAGTTTTTATAATTTTGTAACTATGAGGGATATCTATTGCCAACATTCTATCAGTTTACGGATATGGTACAATCTCCAATACTTCATACTGTAGAGATACAACAACCCGATCAGCTAGTTTTGGTATGTTTTTTTTATAGATCTTGTGTGGAAGGGAAAATTAATGGATTTCCTTGAACCTTTGAGTGAATTATTAAAATTATTATTATTTTGTTATAAGAATTTGCATGGATCTATGACTAAGGGATTTAGATGCCAATATCAGAAAAGATTGAATTGTTGTATCTCTACAGTATGAAGTATTGGAGATTGTACCATATCCGTAAACTGATAGAATGTTGGCATTATAGATCTTGTGTGGAAGGGAAAATTAATGGATTTCCTTGAACCTTTGAGTGAATTATTAAAATTATTATTATTTTGTTATAAGAATTTGCATGGATCTATGACTAAGGGATTTAGATGCCAATATCAGAAAAGATTGAATTGTAGCTGCTATTTTTGTTTTCAATGTTATGATGATAAGAAACAATATTTAAGTGGTGGGAATATTGATTATTTATAATAATAACAAATATAAAATAATCACGCCATATGGTCTTTTATTATCTGCAGCCTATCTTAACATTTTATTGCTGTCATATTAATTATTTGTAGCTTGTTTAATTTTTAGTTAAGTTATAATAGTTTCTTCCATCCTATTTATTGTGAAAAATTTTCAACATTTGTCTGGTGTTTAGTGAGTAAAACAAATTTTTCTTTTAAATACCTATCTGAGAATTTTAAAAATATTACATTAACAAAATACATTTTTATTTATGAAAGCTAAACAAATAAACTATCCAACTGAGAATATATTTTATTTTTAACATAAAAATGTATAGAAATATTAGCTGGGTACCTATCTAATAATATATAAATAGTTTTATACCTAAAAAATGTCTTTAAACATAAAAAATGAACAGTCCCCATTTTTTAAGACTCTTCTAGAAGTCGTCATGGTCGATGAAAGAAATATGATAGTGATAATATAATATTCTAATTTTGTGCTATTCATTTTATAAGTCATTCCCTTACTTATTCCTAGTCTATCACTGACTAAGATATACAGGACTGGAATTGATTGACTGGAGGGGTATAGAGGTATGGCTCTTAAATGTTTCGGTTTGGTACAATGATGYCTGTAAGTTGTAACTGCTACCTGATGTATCATATTACTATTAAATTGATAATTATTATTAGTTTTTATTTATAACTATCCATATTCTATGCAAAAATATAAAATATAAATATGTACCTATTTAAACATTTTAAACTATTTAAAAGCCTAAAGAATTAAGAGTTTAAAATGATATAACATAGATTTTTAATTTTGTAAATAGACATTTCTTTGTATAGCTAACAAATTTGTCAAGCATTGTGAAAACCATGATGTTTTTTTAATGACATACCTATTAATATTTATAATATGTTCAAAATAACTAATAAGATTAACAAGAGATACCTAATTATTGTTAAAATTTTAGTATGAAAAAAATGTTTAATTATTTTAAAGTAACTGATTTTTCTGTACATAGATTGCGCTAGGTAAATACAATGTACCTTTTGAAAACAATATAAAACATTCTAGGGCTACTGATAAGGTCTTCGTTTCCAGTCCTGTATATTATCTTCATTTGTGGCATACATAGATACATTACAATATAACCTAACCTAATATAGTAGATATTTTAAGGTGTGTATTTTATTTTTATTTTTTATAAAAATTTAAGATATTTTTCTTAAAATTATATGTTGCTCATATAGGTACAATTTAAATAATAATTTAGATATAAAAATATAAACTAGGAAAATGCTTGGCTGTACACTAAGTTATGAGTATGCATATCATTGAATATCAACTTTCTATTTACTGTTATGATAGTTAAAATTATTATTTTTTAATTATTGCATATCAATAAGAATCAATTCAGAGCAGTAACTACTGCCTCTGAAAGATGTAACCTTCCTCTATTTCTAAGAATATTTGTTATGTTTAAATAATACCAAAAATATTCCAGATAAAATTAAAAAAATAATGAAAAGTTTTTAAGATATACAAACAATTTATAATTTTAAAATATACATAACTCACTTTAAAATTAAAATATAATAAAAAGCCTACGAGATGCCCTCGATAATAATGTTACCCTTAATTTTTGTAAGAGGTCAATTTACTCTAAATTTTATACTAACGGAGCTATACGTGATCTGCTGAGCATACAATTTACTATGTTATGCATTTGTAAGACGAAGACAATGTATGCGCCGTATGCGGGTGTAGCGTCCTCTTAATCAATATTTACCCGAATATTTATTTCTCCCTGATAAGGTGTATTATATTTCAATTTTATTCATTACACTTACACACTAAAATACGAAGCACAACTGACTTTTTTTTCCTAGTATGCGACTTTTTTTCCGATTACCTATATTTCTCTGTTTTTGATTATACAATTTTATTTACGACAATATACTAATTTGTAGACAGTAACCACAATATTTATTTCAAATATTATAATTTATTTATCAATATATTTTGTCTTCATTTAATTGTTTCGGAAAAACCTAAACTAAAAATATAAATTCTACGTATTTTAAAATTTTTTGTTTAATTGTTTTATGTATCTAAAATCTAACTAAAATATTATAAATAATTATACTATAAAAATATTGAATATTTTTAAACTATTGTATATCTACTACGCTTAGCAACTACCTACCTAATATATTTTATCTATTAATTGAATGTTATAGTCATTACTCATTAACAATCGATTACAAATAGCACACAATAATGTAATAAACTAATAAGTTATAAGTTATAACTAGGGCAAAGGGACTTGTAGCTCAAAATATGCAAGCATTTATGCGCATAAAAACCCCATAATATGCACTTAAAATTTTTTTAAACACATCTAGAAGACTAGATGTCTAGAAACGTTTTATAAATTAATCATAATCGAATAAAAGCCCGCGTGGTGTGCACAAAGTGGTGGTGATGTCGTAGGTATAGTGTACGTTAGATCGTTATCGCTTCTACGAAAAATGTGTGTCAGTGCAAACTCAAAAACCATATTATACTGCTAAAATTAAAAATTAATTAATTTTTATCCAAACATTCTGACAGTGTTGTTTGAAATAAAAATGTCGCAGTGGAAAAAATCGACTTAAGTACAGAAATATGTCTCAAAAAGTATGAAATAGCGTATAAAAGTGTAAATTATGCTTGTATAACCAAAAAAAAAAAAATGCAAAATTTGCATTAATATGCACAATAAAATTTAAAAACTAGCTTTGTGAAAGCATGAAATGTATTTGTATCGTACTTTGCTATTTTTGTGACTGCAAAACAAATATCCAAATGCTTCAAGTCTTCTGCCCTAGTTATAACAATAGCAAGATTGCAAAAATAGTTAATAGTACTCGTAATAAAACTACATAAATCGTATACCTAATTTATTAGAATCAAGTGATTCTAAGAACAAACATTTTATTTTTATTTCAAAAAAATTGGATACACTGCTATAATTGTGAGTATTTAAAAAATGATATCACATAATGATATATAGATTTATAGATAAAAATAATAAGCTATTCATATCCCTTAGTGCGTGTTTTTTTTTTTTTAAATTTTTACATATTCATAGGTACCTACTGTTTAGATCGATTTAGATAATAAAAATAAAAATAAATTTTAATTTTTATAACTGTTATTAATAATCTTTGATAATACTTCCAATATTATTGTATGATAATTAAAAGTTTTATTATATTATCATGGTTTAAGAAGCCCTGTTCCACTATTCATGATATTGCCATTGGAACAGGGAGGGTGGGAGAAACAGCTGTTGGCTGTTGCATCATGTGCATAGAATGTTTCTATCTGAAGGTAGTAATGGGTATGCCAGCCTGGCAGCCACGTTTATTTAGATATTTTAAACGCAAAWTAATTATGATTGTTTAATATACTATAATCATCAATTTAAGTAAATTATTTTTAATATTTGTACACTTTAATCTCAATCTTCTATAGTATACCATATCATATGTACATGTTTGTATTATTTTTTATTGATATATATTATGAATGGTACGATTAAATTTATTTTAAGAAATAAATTATATTTAATTAGTATTATGCTGTGCAAAAATGAACAATTAATCAAWTTTATTGGTTAAAACATAAATCTGCTGTATTTTATTATTATAAAATATCAAAATATTATTTATCAATACTTATTAAATTTGTTAAAATTATTTTTACTTATGATAGTTGATTTTATTTAAGTTCTGTTACTCCTGATAACCTGACAAATATTTGTCAAAATGTGTTTATTTAATATATTTTAAAATTTATTTTTTCGATAAACAAATTTTAAAAATAAAATACAAATTGCTATAATTTCATCAATAAATCTATAATATTATATATATATTCTTTTTTTCAGACCCTAATCAGTATGCCCAGGCTGTTCAAAACCAGGGGTATTTAATTAGTGGTCCACGTAATTCAAGGCATCATGTAAATTCAGCTACACATAACGTTAGTGATATGAAAAATAATCATATGACTAATATGGGCCACAGTAAGTAAAATATATTATATTTAAACTATAAAAAATAATATTTTTGAATTTAATAATTAATTTAGGTCCAATCCAAATAGTGCCTACACAAATTTCTCAAAGACAGCAAACGGTAAGTATATTGATAAAATAATTATGTAGTTCTTATTTAACAATTATTTATTAACCATTACTTTMTATAGATTAACATTTTTAATTACTATCATGAAATATGTCTACACAATTGTATATAAGTAGTTAACGAACAATATTAAATTGAAGAAATTAAATAAATATAATAAAAAGTTTTACATGTGTGATATTTATACA